AAGCTGAAACAGGATATGGCCGGTAGGAAATTGCGAAATAAAACGTACGTCCTTGTTCTTGCTACTCATGCATATACACTGGCACTGTTTTAGTGATGATGGTGAATCGTCTGGTGACGAGATGGTTGCTCCTCCCGCTCCTGGTGCAGCTGCTGCTTCGGTGTCTTCAGCGGATGTATTCGAATGGCATTCACCTTCGGAGGGAGCGTTGGCCAGCCCAAGTGCCCCTGAGGGCGGCAGGCAGGTGCAACGTGATAAGCCCCGTAGGGTGCGAGGCAATAAAGCACATGAACGTCCGCAGGACTTCGAGGTGATATATGGTGAAGGGGAAATGTGATGAGTGTGTCTATTAGAAATTGGATACTCAATTAGAGCAGGAGCGACAGGCGACAGAGGATCTGTTCGCGTCGCTGCCGTCTGTGCCCATCAACGATGATGAAGATATAAACACTGGAGGAGTTTATCATGCGCTGAGTCGCAAGTGAGATTCTGTGGAGGAAATTTGAAGGGGTGGAATGCTGTTGTGTATAGGGAGAAGAAAAAGAACGCTAAGAATGCCGCGGCTCCAGCGAGTAAATCCCAGAGCAATGTAGAACGATTTGTCAAATTTACGGTATGGTTATTGGTGGTTTGTTTTTCTTCAGAGCAAACCACAGCTGCCGGTGGTTGCGGCGAGTGATACGATGATGCTGCAACTGCTAGCTAAGCACCAGGTAGTAGCTACAGCTTGGAAGATCTTAGAGAAACTAGTCGACTGTGTTAGGCGGCTCAGAGGGAAGAGGCTGAGAAGAAGAAGAAAATTGAAGAGGATGAGCGCAAACGGGTTGAGGAGGAGGAGGCTGAGCTACGTCGGCAACAGGAGGAAGAGAAAGCTCGGCTGGAGAGGGAGGAGCAGTGGAGGAGACGAAGGGAAGAAGCTCAGAAGCGCCAGGATGAATCGAAGAGGCGTGAGGAGGAAGAGGCGAGGCAGAGGCAGGTCGAAGCGGCTCGGAAGGCTGAAGAGGATCGTCGGAGGCAAGCGGTTGAGGAGGCGGTGAGGAAGGAAAAGGAGGAATGTTACGGAAAAGGGAGGAAGAGGAGAAGGAGAGGGAAGGAGCGTTGAGGAAAGAGCGGGAGGAGAGTTGAGGAAACTTAATGAAGCTCAGAGTGCAGATTTGGCATCCATGTATTGTATCGAATTGT